GGTACAAAAAAGAGACAAGCAAATTCACATACCGAAAACATAAACACATACACAAAAAAGAAATTCATATTAATAATGATTAAATACAAAAATCTCAATAATTATTCAATGTCAACACTATACAACCCCTATCGTAGCTGTCAAAATAGCATTCAGAGTACGGAATATAAAGCTAAACTCAATACCATTTAGTTCATTCAATATCCACGCAATACGGATGCAATGGGCGCTAGTGTTGCAACTCGAGAGTACGAAACTTGACAATACCAATGTCGATCGATCGGAGTTTGGATTCAAGAGTAAGCCTTGCTCTTTTGACCTTTATTGTTGTAATATATCCATAGGTTCATCTTCTATTCGTCTATCAATACATAGTATAAAACAAAGTCGCTTTCGCTGTATGTCCGTATGTATGCTTAGATCTTTAAAACTACGCAACGGATTTTGATGCAGTTTTTTTAATAGATAGAGTGATTCTTAAGGAAGGTTTGTATATATATACCTATTGCACCCGTGCGAAGCCGGGGCGGGTCGCTAGTATATTAATAAAATCGTAGAAAAGTGAAAACTGTACATCGAATATTTTTTTAAAAGAATGCTTTAGACGTGATCTGCAGTCAATACCGAAACCAAAAATATGGTTTTTAGAGATAATCGTAGCAGTAGCAACGTTTTTGTAAAAAAATAAAAATAAAGAGGGTGTCAGGCTCTGACTAAACACCACCCCGTTCTTACTCCTGCACTTCGAGCCGGAGCTCCGGTAACCCGTTAAGTCTTCCGCGGCATCGTATCGGCATCAGCCCTATTGAGCCCGCTCGCGTTCGCCGCTCTGATTGGCCGGCGCCAATGAACCAACCAATTAGAGCGTCGAACGCGTACTCGTTACGATTACCTACTTTAAACGTAGAACTGACTCGTACCTATGATGGGTCTTTGAGACATGCGTGGAACGCAATTAGGGTTGCCACCCGTACTTTATAATAAAGTATTATAAGTTATTTAAGGTAATTGTACTCTATACTTTATAATAATAATAAAGTACACGAAAATACTTTATTTTTGCAAATTTCATTTCTATTAAAGTCGTAAGTATTTTTCGGTAAACTTATCGATTCGATATCGATATTTATCGATTTATATTGAATCGATTTCGCCACTCGCTAGCGCTAGTTTGAAAATTTCTAGTAAATATGCAATTGTTTAGTAAAGATACTAATTTAATACAAACTGCAAAAAGTAATAAATATAATACTAAATAAGAATAAATTGTACTTTATTTTTGTACTATGTACTTTTTTTTACCTATAATCGTCAATGTGTTTTAAATACCAAAAAAAGGTGGCAACTCTAAACGCAATGTTCCGTACGCTCGAGTATGTTCACGTGATTTACCCATTGTACCTACATAAGATTTTTAAATCACTCATATCATTGTGACCATTAAAAAAGGTTGTATCGCGTTTTATTACCTTCCATTGAAAATACATAATTAGAAATTAATAAAGTTTTAATGTGTTCATTATCGGACGTGAGCACATAGAGGTTTATATACTTCTCAAGTATATATTTAGAGAGATAAGATTATAATCTGTACTGCGACGTGGGAGGCCGATTTAAAGATTATTTATTATGTTTTATATATGTATATTCAATATACGTAAATATTTTATAGATAACATGGGTACTATACAAGTTTCAGCTTTCTAGGTTTGCTTGAGGTTGGAGCTTTGTTCATATATCCAATGAAATAAAACTATCGCTGTATATTTGTAGGTCTAAATAGCACTTCCTTCCGCAAATATTATAAAACTAAGCTAGGAAAAGTTATTAACATAATTATTTCTTAATAAAAGTTTATGTGAGGAAGAGCCAAGCTTCGGCACGAATGGGCAGGCTCGACCGGAGTGATACCACGGCCGAGCAGAAAACTGACGTGAAGCAACGCTTGCGTTGTGTTTCGTCGTGTGAGTGAGGTTACCGGAGGCCCAATTACCCTCCCCTTCCCCAATCTCCCCAATCCCTGAATCCCCAACGATCCTTAAACTCGTAATCCTCAAAAAGCCGGTGACGCATGTGTAACGCCTCTGGTTTTCCAGGTGTCCATGGGCGACGCCGATTGCTTACCATCAGGTGATCCGTCTGCTCGTTTACCGGCTAATGCCATAAAAAAAAGTGTGAGAGAACCATGCTTCGGCACGAATGGGCAGGCTCGACCGGAGTGATACCACGGCCGAGCAGAAAACCAACGTGAAGCAACGCTTGCGTTGTGAGTAAGGTTATCGGAGGCCCAATTACCCCCCACCCTAATCTCCCTAATCCCCAAAAGGCCTGTAACGCACTTGTGTCGCTTCTGGTGTTTCATGTGCCCATGAGCAACGCCGATTGCTTACCATCAGGTGATCCGTCTGCTCCTTTACAGGCTTAGCCCATAAATACAACTTAAAAGATAGGTAATTATTTTTGAACGTGTTCCGCGTGCGCCTCAAAGAGCCAACAAACCACCACAAATGGGGTCCAATAGGGCTAATGCCGATACCGAGCGGCACAGGACTTTACGGGTAACCGGGGCTCCGGCTCGACGTGCAGGAGAAGGAACGGGGAGGTTTTTAGTCAGTAAGAGTCTGACGCTCCCTCCCGTCTCATCCGGACGAGGAGTCATTGGATGATTTTCCGCCCTCGTAGCATTTCGCGTCTCGTGTCGCGAAATGCTGCTCATGAATATGAGCCTCTAGCATGGCTTGAAACTAGTCGAGTTCCTCGTCAAATTATTACGTAAGTAGGTAAGCTGAAAACATAATAATTTACAAGATTATTCTTTAGTTTTTAGCAATATGACATGAATAGACAGAGGCGAAGTCAAAGTCAAAGTCAAATGAAGCATTTATTTCAATTAAACCATAATTTGGTACTTTTGAAACGTCAACAAAGCCTACGCTCTGATCCTACGACCAAAGATTTTACGTCCGAGTGACTAGGGAAAACAAAATGCCAAATCTGACTTCTTATTGTTTGGTCTTTGAATCCCACGTTAAATAGCATCGTGCTATATTCAACGTGGGATTTGTAACAATAACAATGAATACAACTTAAAATGTAATTATGTGAACAGCACCCGACATTTTCGGGGATTAACTCGTCGAGTACCGGTTTTGTAGACACAATTATAGAACAATAGGTTGCGGTCACCGGTGACCGCTTGGTGTTTGACAGTTTAAAACGATATTTTATCATTAATTAGTATGCAATATTACATGGGACTCACAACATAAGTAGTGAAAAGTGGGTGTTACATTGTAAGTACAGTGGCATTTTTTTTTAAGGGGGGCAAATCATCGAGTGACTGCTCCCGCCTGGATGAGGCGGGAGGGAGTGTCAGGCTCTTACTGACTAAAAACCAACCCGTTCCTTCTCCTGCACGTCGAGCCGGAGCCCCGGTTACCCGTTAGGTTCTCCGCGACTTCGAATCGGCATCGGCCCTATTGGGCCCCATCTGAGGTGGTCTGATGGCTATTTGAGTCGCGCGCGGAACGCGATTGTACAGTGGCATAATGTGCACCTCTGCCTACCCTAGGGAATAAAAGGCGTGATGTTATGTTATGTAATTAGTAAGCATGATTGCATGCTTCAGTTGTTGATATTTTTTTTTAAATCATTTATTTCAAGTAGGCCAGGAAGGCATCTTAGAATAGTCAACAAAAAAAAAATAATAGTGAAGTTATTTGCTCATTCCAAGGTGTAGATTCCTATGTAGAAGAACGAGCAAGAAACTCCATAGGTTTCTCTTTTTCAATCAGGTTCACAATACAATTCTCTAGTCACATTGTTTAGTTCGATTTTTTGTTAAAAAATCCCACTTATTGATAAGCAAGACAACGAAAACTATTTCCTTCCAATAATACCCCGTTTCTTGCAAACGTACTCACGATAGTTCGCCTTAAGTTAAACTTTCGCGAGTCTATATAACTACATAGTAGAACTCAGTACATTGCATGTCAGATCGCAGTCACGAACGGACGCCGCAGTTTAACTCGCTAAAACTATTGTTTACATTTCACAGTTCAAACTAAACTTTCTAGTTAAAGCCAAAACTTGTTTCTTGTATTGTGTGTGTTATCTCTGTATTATAAAGTGGTTTGTAATTAAATTTTTGATAAAAAAATCGTCGATAAAAAGTGGTCGATTGTTCTTTCCGATTCAGTTCTTGGTACCGCGTTATCGTTGGCAGTAGTAAGTTTTTCGAATTTGGAAGCTGCGTGCTCGAAGTTGTGTTTTTTTTTTCATCGAGCGGAGAGTGTAAACAGGTTGGTTGTCATTTATTTTTTTTTATAAAATAATGTTTTTTTTTTGTCTATGGTTGTTGTGGTTTTAATTTTTTTTTAATTACTCTTATGAGAGCTAAAGTCATTACTCAAAATTGAACTTTACAACTTAAAAAACACGATAGCTTATGGATCAATGTAATTAATTAAACTTAAAATATTATGTATGTGATTGTGTAAGTGAGAACACAAAGGGTTTCATAAATCCTTTGTTCTGTACTTAAGAATATTAAGTATTAACAATTACAAATGATAATATCAATAACATTATTGAATACTTATTTGTAACCCAGTGTTTCGTTAAAAGCAACGTTTAGCTAACTGTTCTAAAATTTTCATTTTGTCTTTTAACCCTTATACATCGTCTCTCTGTTGCGAAGAATCTAACGGGTAACCGGGGCTCCGGCTCGACGTGCAGGAGAAGGAACGGGGTGGTTTTTAGTCAGTAAGAGTCTGACACTCCCTCCCGCCTCACCCAGGCGAGAGCAGTCAGTCGATGATTTTTCCCCCTTAAAAAAATATGTCGTTTCTGCGCTACAAATGCCTTACCTTTGTCATTACTGTTGCTCTAGAATATTAGGCCTTATCTTAGGGTTGATGCGACATCTTGATATGCTTTCTTAAATTGTCAAACACCAAGCGGTCACCGGTGACCGCAACCTGTTGTTCTATAATTGTGTCTTTAATGATGGTACTCGACGAGTTAAATCAAGACGGGTTGACAGAGATGCTTATATACAATGTAACACCCACTCTTCACTATTTATGTTACGAGTCCCATGTAATAGGGGGTGAGCCTATTGCCATATACCGGGCACATTGTGCACCGCTGCCTACGCCTTCGGGGATAAAAGGCGTGATGTTGTATTATCTTTGATATTATTGAGAATTCTTTCTTTAAGTCTGTGTTTTAGGTAGATCGTACTGTTATCTGCCCTCTACAATATGAAGCGAACGTTATAATGTTCTTATCTATATTGTAATGAATCGGTTTTATGACACCCAACTGGGACCAACGTATTTTAATTTAATAATATAACATCACGGCTTTTATCCCCGAATGGGTACGCAGAGGTGCACATTACGGCACTTAATGCCACTGTACACTGTAACACCCACTTTTCACTATTCACTATTTATGTTATGAGTCCCATGTACTAGGGGGTGAGCCTACTGCCATATACCGGGCACAATTTCAGACTCCGTGCTACTACTGAGATTTAAAAAGATAAAAAGATGTTGACGATCCTTGCCATTCAACGTGGCAATGCTGCCAGTCTTCTGGAGACGTCAGGTTTCCCCAGTGATACGACGGACGAATTTTTGACGCCTAACTGACGAAATTTCGTTGTTTCTTTTATAATTTTTTTAAATCGCTGTTTTAGGTTTAGTTAATTTTAAGTTGTATATATTTATTCATAATATTATTTTATTTAAGAATAGTATTTATTCGATTAAATAGCAAAGATTCTTTTCCAGAAAAAAAATTAAAAAATGAAGATAATGTTTTACGCACAATTTAGTTTGAGATGTATTTCAATGATAGTAATCAATCGTTTATTAGTCTAGACTAGGATCAATCAATCAAGTACTAGAATGAATTAGTACATTATCTCTTTGATCGCCATAATATGAAACTTAAAATTAGATAAGAAATTAAATTAAAAAAAATCAAATATATCCCAAAACTGCCTCTGATAGAATTGTCGCCGGCGCACCTGCTAGCCAAATAGTTGGTTCTCATCCCTCATTAGGTATAAAATTAATTAACTTCTCATGCAAGACATACTCGAGTGAACTCAAAGATTTTTTGATAAACCTACTTACGACTTATTTTTTTCCTTTTTAGTTTTTACTTTTGGTTTATCATTCGTTTTCGAAGTCGGTTTTTTTAAACGCAGTTTTTTAATTTTATTTTATACTTTTTAGTTTAGTACTTTGATATATTATATTATACACAACCCACATAGATGCAAAGTTTTCATCAATACAAATTATTCAAGTTCAAACACCGGGTGGGTACTCTTAATCATTGAGGAGTCCCTTAGCTATCATACTATCGTACTACTTCATCATCAGACCCTTATTGACAATTACACCCCACCTAGGTGTAAAGTCCTCATCAATACAAATTAATCAAACCCAAACACAAGGTAGCTATTGTTAACCGTTTAGGAGTTCCCTCTACTATCGTACTACTTCATCATCAGACCCTTATTGGCTCTCGGCTCCATCATCAGATCGGCTCCAGACCTTTATCAGATTGTAGTGGTTTTCAATACTTAATGCAAAAATTAACAAATGCCCCAGTCACCCCTATAATTTTTAAAAGTTCCCCTCGGTTTCCCTGGTCTTCCATCATCAGATCCTGATTTCCTTATCATGGGACCATTTTGGAACTAACTTCTTTCTAACAAAAAAAGAATTTTCAAAATCGGTTCATAAACAACGGAGATATCGGCGAACAAACATAAAAAAAAGCATATATACGGTCGAATTGAGAACCTCCTCCTTTTTTTGAAGTCGGTTAAAAATAAAAAAAAAATACCTGTCTAATGTTTGTCTTTACCTAATTGGTACCCAACTAACAGGGCAAAGGATACATTGGGAATTCAAACAAAGTCACAAGTGGAACACTAGTTGTTAAATAATACTAACTCCACTGGTTCTGTCGTAACAGAACAGGCTTGTGAAACAGGATTACGCGGGTTCAATCACCGGGTAATATAAAACTGTGTAGTGAATTTTCTCTTATAAAATACATTGTTGAATGCACTGTATCATTGGCTGAGTGATCGCAAGACTTGGGGGCTCGGGTACGATTCCCGGGTCGGGCAAAGTGTTATTGGTTTTTTTTTAATGTCAGTTGTAGCACGAAGTCTGGAATTGTGCCCGGTATATGGCAATATATTTACCTACCCTCTACTACATGGGACTCAGTGAAACGGGAGTTACATTGTACAGTGGCAGTAAGTGCCGTAATGTGCACCTCTGCCTACCCCTTCGGGGATGAAAAATGTATTGTTATATGTATTTAAACAGCAATATCCTAACACTGGTCTTACTCTTGAATCCAATTCCGATCGATCGACATTGGTTTTGTGAAATTTCGTACTCTTGAGTTGCAACACTAGCACCCATTAGAGATTGTTGCTGCATGGCATGGTCGTTGTCAAATGGTATCCGATATTAGGCTCATATTACACCCGCAGCAAGACTGGGGATGTCAAAATATATTCTACTCTGCCATAACAAGACGTCTGAATAAAAAATATATAATATGTAAGTGAGGTGTGGGGAGCTAGTGTAAAATAAAACAATACGTCTGTCTCGTTTCACGGTGCTCTTTAATCTGACCCACTAACTACTAACTACAATAAGGTATACCCCACTTCACCTCCGGGGTAAAAGAAAAAAAAAAATTAAATCTAAAGATTACATTTTTTTTTTTTGAACTTATAGCTAATTGCCAAACATAAATGTTAAATGCTAAATCCTTAATCATGTAAAGATTAAATGTACTTAAATTAAGCTTACATAATAAAATTTATTTATCTTTAACAAATAATTTTGTTCTATTTTTGTGAACAACATCAATTTTTCCATTTTTCATGATTTTTACATTTGGTTCTTGTTCTTCTATTACAATATATGGGCCGTCATATAAAGGTTTTAATTTATTTCCTGTTTCATTTTTTACTAACAACATATCATTTGGATTATACTTTATTTGATTTACAGTTTTATCATAAATTTGTTTTCTTTTCTCTTTACACTTTAACAAGTTTTCTCTGGCATCTCTATTAGCTACTTGTAACCTGTATTTTAATTCTAAACTGTAGTTATCAGGATTGTACAATGGTTCTATATTAGAAAAAATTCTACTTGGTATTTCACAGGGTTTACCAAAAACTAATTCGTA